AGGGCCACAAAACTCATCAGAGGGATGGGACACCTCTCCTATGAGGACAGGCTGAGGCAGTTGGGGTGGTTCATCCTGGAGAAGAGAAGGCTTTTGGCAGACCTTATTGCAGCCTTCCAGTACTTAAAGGGGGCCTGAAGATGTCCCTGCTGATTGTAGGGGGCTTGGACTAGACGACCTTAAAAGGTCCTTTCCAACCCAAACTATTCTATGGTTCTACAACTCTATCATTCCATGATCATTGTGGGATGAGAGCCCCAAACGGAACTTCCTCCCCTTGCTGTGGTTACAGAACCAAGTGGAAAATGCTGCTACAGAACAAGGTCTTTTTTTTTTTTTCCAGCAGAAAATCCTCATTCACTCCCCTATTCACCCCCCTCCTTCTGCCCCTGATTTTTCTGCCATAGGAGTTGCATGCAAAATAGGTAAAATAACATTTGTTGTGGATAGAGAGAAATAGACTTGGGATGCAGGAAGTAAATCTTTGTGGAGATCTCAAAGGTTTTAGCAGGAAGGTTGTTTTCATCAGTCACCAGTTATTGCTAAGGGCTAGCAGCCTGTAAATGGCAGTACAAATATAGCAAGTCACAGTTGATAAAACTATGAAAAGTTTTGCCATTCACTTTCGTCTTGTTCCAGGAATGTGTCTGGGATTGTATATGGAAGCTCATTCTACTTAGTTTTCAGAAACTGAGAAGCAAAATCAAATTAAGCTAGTGTCACTGATAAATGATTGAGGAGAGATGAAAACCCTGTCCTAATCATTGACTCTAGGAACAAAAGCAGAAATTCACCCAAAGCTTCAGTATTTCGCCCTGGCTACAATCACTCACATTTTAGCTGTTTAGACTCCAGCACATCTTTACTTAGCATATACAATTTTTTGTTTTTCTAAAGCTTATTATCTTAGCACACTTTCAAAGTTAAACAACTGGATTTTTGAAGGAGACATTTGACATTTGAAACCATAGTTAATTTTACAGGCTTGTGTTTAGAAGTTGCTGAACTGTTTCACTTCAAAGTTAATAAATAAAATCTTAAACTCCCTTCTAGTAAATGCAAAGAAAATGTATGCAAAGAAAATGTATGCAAAGAAAATATATGCAAAGTTACTCAACTGAGAAGAGGAATTTGTCAAAAGAAATACTTAATGATTTTATAATAAACAGTACTTTCAGACAAACTATTAAAATAGGTGAATATCAAGCTTTTTTGTGGTTATATCTGTATAGTAATTTTAAAGAATGCACAAGGTCGAGACTTTGCAAACATTTTACTGCTGAGGATGCTCTGGGTAGCAGCTCTTGGCCTTGTTCCAGTTCAAATACTACTACAAAATTGCCTGTCACACATAACTGTGTGTGACACAGTTTGGAAAGGTTTATATTAACATCAATTTATGTTTATTCATAAAATTTATTCAATTTATCAAATATCCAAGCTCAATTTTGCTTGGATATGTGACCTGTTAGATCAGCTGGTCAGTGCTGTAGCAAACAAGAAATAATACATCACACTAAGAAAGCAGGCAGCAATCTCTCATACTTTTATTTTCATCAGTTTCCTTTTGTGTGTCTGTTTTAGTAAAGTATGTGCCCTGGAGTGTGATCAGTCTGGTTTGAAGACTTTTATCAATAGATCACCTCTGTTCATCTTGCTTATCAGGTGTCACTTAAAAATACACCTCCTTGCAGCTCAGTTCTCTTCATAGTAGCCTCTTACATGAAATACAACATTTCCTTTCAGCTGGAATTGTGGTTTGGATTAGGGAAATTCTTACATTTACAAGGAGAGAATTTCAGGCATTTCTGTTTGTTTTACTTCTGCTGATTTTAGGGTCAATGCAGAATTTGCAATCCTCTTGTAGAACCTGTAAAACACTTGTTGTAATGTCTAGTGTACTATTAATGATGTCAAAGGAGACGTTTTCCATAATACTGGTGCAGTCCAATATAGCTTGTACTGAAGCGTGTTTGGCAGCTTGCCTCAATAAAATCTCAATCAGAGCCAAAGTGCCTCTTGCAATTGGCTGTATGCATTTCATATAACCTCGTAAAGAATGACTTGCAAAATAATTAATAAAAACACACTCTGCAGTTCTTTAATGACTATAACTGCTTTAAAAAACAGGCTTATATGACTGTTCCTGTCTACAAAATGGGAAGGATGAAATGTGAAAAGGCACAGTGACTTGTCCCACACAACACCACTGCTCAGAATGGAAACCATATCTTCACTGATGCGGAAAGGACAAAACTACCCCCATTTTGCCTTGAACAAGTGCCTAGTTGTGGGCTGGATTAGCATTGGGGAAATGGAGTAAGGCTGCTTCTTTTCATGACATGGATGCTTTGTGATCATTTTACATCATAAAGCAGACTACAACTCTTGTCCTGTTTACAGCAGATCATTATTTTACATATGACAGTATATTACATCAGCTGCAATTCGTGAACACAAGACAACACCTCAGTGTTTTACCTTTACTTGATGAAAGACAATAGGGTCAAAAGACCACAGAAGAACAGTGACATTGGTATCAGTTCTTGGGAAGGAAAGCTTTCTTTCCTCTCTGTAACTTTAATTGTAGTAATCTTGAATCTGCATCACTTGAACTGCAACGTGTTTTCAAAAATTTTTGCTTGAAAGCTAGGGAGTTTTTTGGAAAACGTGTTTACTGTGTATTTTAAAGATACCGGTTGTTTCTCGTTCCTGATTCGGAATTCGTTCAGTTAGCAGAACTGTCAGCAGGAGGAGCTAGTGAGGCGGCAAAGGAAGCCGGTTCACCCGTGGTCGGACGTTTTGAGGAAAAGATCTCGAAGTAACGGAGAAGCACCGCATCTGTAAGAAACTTGCTCCTTTTACTGTTTTTACGCACTGCCACCTGAATTGATTAAAAGCTGTTTTACTTCGAGGGGGCTGTTACACATACAGCCACGTTCTTTTTCACGAGCCTTCACACTTTTTTCCACCCGTTGAATAACGCGGCCTCGTTTCCAACAGCGGCGCCTTCAGCAGCAAAAGGCCCAGGTAAACGCCAATCGCGTGCCCCATGGGGGAGCACTCACGGCAGTCGTCACCCTGCCGCGTCCAATTATTAAACAGAAGTCGACATTAAAGGCTAATTTCAACACCGTCACCGTAAGTTTCACGGCGCAGGCACAGACGCAGACGCGCGCGCAACAACCGTTACCTCAGCCCACCCTGCGCGCGAGCGACCACGCCCCTTTTCCGCCTCCCCAACATACACCGCGCAGGCGCAGAACACCGGGAGGAGGAGGCGGGGTTAACGGCTTCGCTCCCTGGCGCCTGCGCACTGGCGCGGCTGCGCGCATTTGCGAGAGTGGGGATAGCGGTGGAGGTGAGCTTGTCCTTCCTTCCACAGCCGCCATTTCGGGGTGCCGTGAGGTTGATGGGCTGCTGCCCTGGGGGCTATGTGGCTCTGCCATCTTTCGGGCTCGACCACATAGCTGCGGGGCGGGAGGTGCTCTCACCCCGGCCGGGTAATGTGGGCCGCCTTTCAGCCCGGGATCCAAACCTTCACTCTGGATGCCCCTGACTTTGTGGGACAAAACTCGTCACGGGGCATCCAGAGAGCTGGGGGGGGGG